TTCTTCTGGTCTCAGGCTGATGAAGTCTCTGGTTTATGTGGCCCTTTCTGTCTCTTGGGCTAATACTTTCCTTGTGTCTTTGGTGTTCTTCATGCTCCTTTAGTCCAGTTGGTTGGGACCAATTGATGCATCTTAGATGGCCGCTTACAAACTTTTAAGACCCCAGATGCCACTCACCGAAGTAGGATGCAGAAAATTTTCTTAATAAGCTTTGTTATGCAAATTTACCTAGATGTTCCCGGAAAGCATGGTCCCCAGACCCCTACCCCTGCTACTCTGTCCCTCAAAGTGTTTCAGTGTATTCAGGAAATTTCTTAGCTTTGGTTCAGCACAGTTGTGCTGACTTCCCCTGTAGTGTGTGCTGTCCTTCCCTTCACCTAAGATAATTCTTACCTACTTTCTAGTTAGTGAATAACACTCGCCCTCCCTCCCCAACCTGGTAACCATCAAAGAATGTTTTCTTCTGTGTTTAAACCTTTTCTTTAGTTCTTATAATAGTGGTCTTATATAATATTTGTCCTTCTGTGACTGACTAAATTCACTCCGCATAACGAGTTCCAGCTTCCTGCACGTTATGTTTCGCAGCTTCATCATTGTTCTTTATCATTGCGTAGTATTCCATTGTGTGGAGATACCATAATTTGTTTATCCATTCATCTGTTGATGGGTGATATCTGTAATCTTTATGGAGATAGTAGGTGCTCACTAAATGTTTGCTATAATTACCATTTCTGGAAGCATCTGTCCGGTTTTCATTATAAGTTCTTCACTACTCTTAGAATTTTCCAACTTTGTATACGTATGACTATGATTAAAAAAGTAGAACTATTTATTCAAAAAAGTTTCCTTTAGGTTCACAGTGAAATATTTTAGATGATTATCCTTGTAAGATTTGTGTTTACAAATGTACATATGTGCTCCATTCTTCCAAAACTGGGGACCCAGTTTCTGTTCACACACTCATTTTGACCTGAGAGGACTTTGCTGGGATGGTAGTGGGCATGGTGGTCTTGTCATAGCCTTGGTATTCTTCTCCTGCCAGAGTTGGCGAGAGCAGACCATGCTGATGTCACCTTTCTTCAGACAGGGATTCCATCACTCAATCTGTCCATTCCTGTGTTGCTCTGGGAATGAAACCCAAAGGCTCCCTGGGAATCTCAGCTCAGCTGCCCACTTGCCACATGACCTTGGAGAAGTGGCCTTTAGACCTTGGCACAGAGAAATCAAAGTGCTGGGCCCTTCCTGTTGTTCTTCTGTTTGTTTGTTTTAAGATAGCATTTTATTACTAAAGCACGTTTAACCTAAGATATGATCTGACCTCCCAAGCCTTTTTTCAAAAAATTGTGGTAAATATATATGTAAAAAACATGGAAAGCTTCACAGATTTGAGTGTCATCTTTGCACAGGGGCCATGAAAATCTTCTGTCTGTGGTTCTAATTTAGTATATGTGCTACCAAAGTGAGCACTGGGCCCTTTCTCTGTCACACTGCAGAGAAGGGGTGGTGTTGGAAAATTGTTAGTTGGTGCATCTCTGCCTAGTTGAGTGAGGCTCAGCTGGGACGTGGGCTGCTGGGGTGCTTTCTATGTCAAGGCATGGCTTAGGTGAGTCTGCGTCTTCCAGGACTGATACCTGTTGCAGGTGTGTGTACTACATTTCCAGCCTACCGAAGAGTGAACGGGATGACAGGCATATCAGGGAGGCTAACAGAAAAAAGAAAACAATATATAGAAATCGGAATTTAAGACTCAAGATTGTTAATCCAGACAAGAGCTCTCCCCTTTGGGTCTCGGTTTTCCCTTCAGTGAAATGAAGTCTGTGAAAATGATCAGTCATAGAGTTAAATTATCCTTGGCTCTGGGGAGGAAGCTGGCGAGGTCACTGGACACATTCTCACAAGACTTGTCATTCGATGGAACACTTCTTCTCCTCTCCCGATCTAAGCCAGTGGCCGTCAGGGGGGCAGGAGAGCTTTGGTCCTGGGCTTCATCAATCCAATTCATTGAGTGACCACTGTGTGCCCAGCACTGTGCTGGACACTACTATAAACACTGACAATGACTGGAACGTGGCCCTCAGGCTGCCAGAGACAGGGCATTGCCCAAAGTCATGGTAACAATGGCACTGGCTCCCATGAACCAAGTGCTCCAAATGGATAGACCCACAGAATCCTCCAGACAGCTCCATGATGTTGTTGTTGTTGTTGTTAGGTGCCGTCAAGTCGGTTCCGACTCATAGTGACCCTATGCACCACAGAACGAAACACTGCCTGGTCCTGCGCCATGCTCACAATTGGTGTTATGCTTGAGCCCGTTGTTGTAGCCACTGTGTCAATCCATCTTGTTGCGGGTCTTCCTCTATTTCGCTGACCCTGTACTTTACCAAGCATGATGTATATACTGGTAATAACCCCCTTCTTCAGGTGAGAAAACTAAGGTGTTGTACTGAGTTGGAGAGTGTCTCCCCTAAGTTCATGTCCTTCCCAGAACCTCATATTGTGACCTTATTTGTAAATAAGGTCTTTACAGATGTAATTAGTTGAGATGAAGCATACTGGAGCAGGGTGGGCTCTTAATCCAATCTGACTGGGGTCTTTATAAGAGGAGAAGAAACCCATGGAGAGACACAAAGGGAAGACGGCCACGTGAATACAGAGGCAGAGATTGGAGTTATGCTGCCACAAACCAAGGATTGCCTGGGGCTACCAGAAGCTAAAGGAATCAAGGAAGGATCCTCCCCTAGAAGCTTCAGAGGTAGCATGGCCCTGCCAACACCATGAGTTTGGACTTCTATACTCCATAACTTCGAGAGAATAAATTTCTGTTGCTTTATGCCCTCCCAGTTTGTGGAAATTTGTTAAGGCAGCCCTAAAAAACGAATACAAGGACTAATGGACCATGAGTAACATAGCCTCCACCAGACTGAGTTCAGCACAACTAGATGGTGCCTGGCTACCACCACTGACTGCCCTGACAGGGATCACAATAGAGGGTCCCGGACAGAGCTGGAGAAAAATGTAGAAAATTCAAACTCACAAAAAAACACCATACTTACTGGTCTGACAGAGACTGGAGAAACTCTGAGAGTATAGCCTCCCACCCTTTTAACTCACTGCTGAAGTCACTCCTGAGGTTCGCCCTTCAGCCAAAGATTAGACAGGTCTATAAAACAAACAATAGTACACGTAGCTCAACCACGTATATGAGACTAAATGGGCACACCAGCCCAGGGGCAAGGAGGCAAAGGCAGGAAAAGACAGGAAAGCTGGACAAATGGAAATAGGGAACCCAAGGTCGAGAAGGGAAGAGTGTTGACATGTCAAAGTGTTGGCAACCAATGTCACAAAACAATATGTGTATTAATTGTTTAATGAGAAACTAATTTGCTCTGTAAACCTTCACCTAAAGCACAATAAAAAATAAATAGACAAGAAAAGGCAAAAAAATTAATACAGGTGCCAAGAGGTTAAACAATTTGCCCTAACTCACATAACTAGCAAGTGGTGGAGCTGTGATGCAGTTCAGTCTTTCTGACTGTACAGTCTGTCTGGTGTACTAGATATACACCACCTCCTGCCCCTTTTTTTTTTTTTTTTGATTAAAGTAAAATTGTCTTGATTTCATTTAACACAGTTTCAAATGAGGTCTGTGGATAGATGGACATAAGAGAGAGTTCAAATCTCAATGTACAGAACAACCAGAAAAGAAATAATTAGAATGTTCATGCACTGTGAAGAATGTAACCAACGTCGCTGAACACCTTGTGTAGAAATTGTTGAATGGAAACCTAAACTGCCGTGTGAACCTTCACTGAAAATACAATAACATATTTTTTTTTAAAAAAATCAACGTAAAAAGGTTTCCTCTCACACTAGCCCTTAGTAGAGTTTCAAGGCCCCTCCAAATGCTGACATCTAACCTTAGACACTTTGAGATTTTATCTACAGGCCCAGAAAGTACAGACATCATCAGTAAACGAAGACTGTATGTAGGGCCTTGTTACAGTCCCTGCCTCATCCTGAGGGATTTTATGATTGGTTTATTTTCTTTATCTCAAATTTCAATACCATTTTCTTCTTTTTCACCTCCTCCCCTCCCTTCCCCTCCACTTTCTCTTCTTCTCCTTCTGCTGCTGCTTCTTCTCTCCCCCTGCCTCATTCTCTTCTCCTCTTCCTCCTCTTCTCCTTCCTCCTCTTCCTCCTCCTGCTTCCCCTCCCCTTCCCTCCTCCTCCTCCTCCTTCTTCTCGAGATATTTGAAATACTCAGGACCTCTGCTCATTTCTCTTCATACCTTAAAGTGATGGAAGTTGGCAGATCTCCAGTTCCACAATAGTCCAAATGCTCACATGATATCCTTAATGTGATTTATTTAACATTATAATCCCAGGTTTGGCAACCATCCTGGTACTAGCAATAGAGGCTGAAGATATAAATTTTCAAGAGTTGTAGAACTTTCTTCCTATAATGCCAGTCAAGATCACAGATGTAGCTAGGAAAACACAGATGCTACTTGGATCATCAAGAGCTGATAAGCTCCCAGGTGTTTGAAACCACTGGAGGTGGGAGGCTGTCTGCTTTTGCAAAGCCCATGATACCACTGGAAACAACCAGACAACCCATTCTAGATCATTCTGCCAATAAGGGTGTGAGCAGAAGATACTATAGAGAATCCTCAGCCTGTAGATGAAGCAAGTGAGGCTGATGAATGGCATCTTTAAGGTCACACAGCTAGTTAGCAGAAGAGTGAGGACTAGGTCCCAAGTGACTGATTCTGAGTTTCTTTCTGTACAAAAGCAGATGTGGTCAGGGAAGGCCTCACCAAGCAGTAGGAATGAGCTGGGCCTTGAGGGATGGATGGAGTATGGGTGGGCTTCAGAGAAAGATTTCCTAACACGGCTTTAGTCTCCTTTATGGCTTTCCCAACTAAACTGTTAGCTCCTTGAAGGTAGTATGATGGTTAAGGTTATGTGTCAACTTGTCTAGGCCATGATTCTCAGTGGTTTGGCAGATATTATGTAATCATCTTTCATTTTGTGATCTGAGTGAGCAGCCAATCAGTTGAAAGGATAATTTCCTTGGGGATGTGGCCTGCATCCAAAATATATGGATGTTCTGGCAAAGTTCACCCTGTCTCGATCCTGCATCCGACTCATTGTCCTCTGACCTCCAGTTCTTGGGTCGTGAGCCAGCAGCCTGCTGTCTGACCTGCAGATTTTGGAATTCACCAGCTCCCGCAAACCCATGAGCCAGCAGCCTGACCTGCTGATTTTGGGTTCATCAGCCCCTACAACCAAATGAGTCAAGAGAAGCTGCTAGCCTGATGCCTAATCCATGGAATTTGGGACTTGCCAGCCTCCACAACTTCATGAGCCATTTCCTTGAAATGAATCTCTTTCTGTATATTTATATATACGCTTCCCTTGTTTTGCTCCTCTAGAGAACCCAGCCTAAGACTGGTAAGCACTTGTCACCTCTGCCTTTTGCCCCCTTACAGAGCTCCTAGTGTGGTGCTGGTACAAAGGGGCTGTTGAGGAGATGGGTAAGACTCACTCCTGTATATCCTCTCCAGAGACCTGACTCCTTGTTTATAAGCCTTTTGTGAGAGCATCTGGCACTGAGTAGAAAATCAGCTTTCTGCCTTTATTCTTTACTTCCTACAATGACACTTTTGAGAATGTGTGCCCAACCCATGATGTCCCCACCAGACCCCAAGCTGTCTGTGGCTGAGTGACACAGGAGTGGGCCCCTGACTCAAACTAGACCCATTAGTGTCTCTCTCCCAGGAATTTGGAACTGTGACCTAGAGGGGTTCTGTGGCCTCCTCTGATGAGTTGAACTGAGGCGCTGATAGCTCAGCAACTGAGAGGCATCCATCTTCATAGACACAGAGAAGGCCAGTGTGAGAGAAAGAGGATGATGAAGCAGATGCTGAGAGGCAGCAGCAATGAGAAACCCCTAGGCCCCAGAGAGAACTGCTGAGAAGCCAGCTGCCCCTGTTCCTGGTTCCCGTGCCTGGGGAGGCCCCTGCCCAGAGAGGCCATTATCTTGTTAGAAGGTCCCTCCTCCAGTCCCACGAGAAGAACGGTTTGTTGCCTGGAACCCTACTGTATTCTGATGTTATCAAGTTTCTGCAGAAGGAGCTCACTCAGCCAGGTCTCTGACTGAGCTACCAGGGGAAGTCCTTGGTTATGCTCTGTGCTGGAGGAACCACAGTCCGGAAAGAGGGGATGTTATTGAAGAGGAACTTTCTTCTCTTTCTTGAAGGGAGACCCTTGACCTGGTGGTCACGGTTTGACACAACCCCGGAAGGAATGGGACTCTAGACTCTGGGGAAGACATTAATTCTTTTATACAAAGGTTTTTAGTCAGAAGTCCTTATAGGCGCTGTGAATGGGAAAGAGGTAACACCAGTGGTCACTTCATTCCTAGGCATTGTGCTAAGTATGGGTGAACAGAGGTGGAATAAGAC